GTAGATCTAAAAGAGATTATACAATCTGATTGTATGGCATATGGTCACCTTTGGATGCACAAGTAGCTTTAAATGGACTTTAAGTTAGCAACAGACAAATGAAAGCCGAACTCCAACTAACACCCTTTAGACAGTTCCAGCAACAGGGTTGTTTTTCTATTTGTAAAAAGATTTATTCATGTAAACAATAGCTGACAGTTGTAAGCAATGTTAGAAATATATACATGTGAAATTTAAAAAAAAAGGAATTCACATACAGAATATTATCATCAATGGCATTAACACATTTATAGCCCCCAGATTACAGTCCCCGGAATTATTACAGGTATTTATATAACACCGACAGTTTACGCAGTGCTTTACATGGTGTACATTCACATCAGTCCCTGCCCTCAAGGAGCATACAATCTATGGTCCCTATCTCACAAAACATATGTACAAGGGACAATTTAGGCTGGAGACAATTAACCTACCAGCATGTCTTTGGAGTGTGGGAGGAAACCGGAGTACACGGAGGAAACCCACACAAGCACAGGGAGAACATGCAAACTTCTTGTAAATAGTGACCTGGCCGGGATTCAAAGCAGGGACCCCAGTGCTCCAAGGCACAGAAATCTGTCTCCCGTTTGTGCAAGCAATGGCGCAATTCATGTCACTGTCGGTAAGGTGTACATGACAAAATTGTTGCACAGACGGGACATTTCTAATCAATGTCTACAAGACTCTTCCAGTGACTGTCCCTGAAATTTGTGTTGTAGACACTCATTAGAAACAACAACAAATGGCGCAACCTGCGACAGATTCATGTCACTGTTGGAAAGGTTTAATGAATCTGCCACAGAATTGCAAGACAGTACACTTAGGACACAGTTTACTCTAAGTCCCTGTTCACACCTAGGCATTTTGTAGCAGAAAGCTCGGAGCTACAAAACGCTGAACACAAGAAATGTCTCCTGTAGTAATACTGAAAACAAGTACATGAGCTACTTTTCTGCAGACTTCTGCCCTTTTGGCCACATAGACTTAATGGAAATGCTTGTAAACGCGTGGCGCAAGCCTTTTTGTGTGTTTAGCTGCGTGTTCGCATCATTAAAATGATCACTTCTTGAAGATTTAACCAAGGTGTGCTGGTGACATACTTTACTACTTGTTGTGTGTTTGACGCACAAGCACAATCTATACAAAAAAGCCTTAAAACGATATCACCTTGATATAAACGGGGGCTAACATGGAAGACGTGGTATTTACATCCACTATTCCGATCACTGATATGGCCGTATTTCGTAAGGAATTTGTCGCAGTCATAGTGGCAGAATGTAAAAGCGTTGCACATAAGAACTGCCTGAATTAGTCGCATGCGTTGGAAATAGCAAGAAAACTGTTGCTCAATTTTCCTGTATCTGGCACAGGACTTTCTAATATAATACCAGAAAAGTGTTGCCCCAATATGACAAACCTTTTACATTCAATTGATTTTTTTTGCCTTTCCTGGGCAGTTGTTATCAAAGCCCTTTAGTTTTCAGATGTAGTTAAAGAAGGGAACAAACGACCGTCCCTCATCAGCGGAGCCCTGTAGCAGCAGCATCATTGCCATGGGAACCGCATTAAATAACTCTCTGCCACTGACATCTTCTCTGGCTGAACTAGAAAGTCTCCAGAACAGACAGCGATGTCAAGTTGATCATGTCCCCTTCCTGTGGCAGCCACAACAAAACATCACCAATGATCGTCTCAAATAATCGCCCCCCCGAGTCCACGATACCTACTTGGTTGCTGTGACGGTTCCGTCTTTACACTTCAATGGGAAAAGTATTTTTAAAATAAAAAAAATAACAGAGATAGAAAAAGTTGCCGTCCTTTTCTTTAGTCAAGTGAAAATCCGACTTCTTTTTCTAGAGGAGTATCGGTCCGTCAATAATGTCCTCAGAGAGCCTTGCCGGTGCTATGTGGACTTTTCTTCAGAGATGAGTGAAAGTTTAGCTGAAGATGCTCAAGAGCGTTCAGTAAGAACGTCCGATCGCTGTGTGTGAGCATCATTTATGAGAGAGGAACTCTACAGCGTCCCCGTGGAGCGGCTGGAATGCGAGACGTCAATAGTGACAGCATGGGCAGATGACGTCACCGGCCTCTCCCCCTCCTCGCGCGTGTGGCTATGTGACTGAGGGGTGGATGGCTTCCTCTTCGTAGTACAGTCTGTGTGTTCCAGCTGAGAGCCTGAAATCCAGTAGCCGGGCTCTGCGGCTCCACACACTGCCAACACGCTTCATTTTTTAGATTGGTGGAACGAAGTTTACCCAAATCAAAAGAGGGAGGATGGCAAATGTAACTGACAACGGCCCGCAAGTGCTAACGGCAAAGTCCACCTTTCAGAAAACAATAATAAATGCGCACACGTTAGTAAACAAGAACTCCAGGCATTATATAAAACGTACTCTTGCACTGGGGCTACCCTGCATTGCAAGGGTTAATTGCTGGTTTTGCCTAAGAGGCTAAAATAAAGCAGTTTTGCTCACCTAATCCTCATGGTTATAACAAAAGGTAGAGAATGTGGGGCTTTTAAGGTGTCACTCTAAGCATGAAGAACACATATTGCACATATGTCTTTAAATAAATATATTTTTATTATACAGATAAATAAAGATAAAACCATTATAATATTGTATCCACAACAACCCCAAAAGAGTTTAAAATTGATTTTAGGCATTTTTAGGCCTTCCTGGACCACACAGCCACATACACGGCATCAGCCATTATGGTAAGCATTTAAACATATATTTCATATATATATACATAAAGAGATTCATCATATAATGTCATTGGCAAATCCAGTCTTGTGTCAGTGCACCGTGGGTCCAGCCTTCTACGCGTTTCGCTTAAAAAAGCTTCCTCAGGAAGATAAGCGGCTGCCTGCAATATTTGAATATCATGGGTATGCATACGTCTATCTATAAGGATACACACTTTTACATCACATACTAGTAACCATTGAAAAATAAATAACCTTGTTGGGGTTCCAGTGGTGGATGAATTCACATCTCCAGGGGGACAGAACCCACCGCCCAGATGATGTAGGGAGTGAGGGACGTATATGAGTACCGAGAGAAAAGGTTAAATTCCCATCCATGGATACTGCAAATTACAATATAATATAATATCAAACAATATATAGCACGCGACAGTACGAAAAAACTAACTAATATTCCCCATATTTTGTAGATACTAATTAGATGAGCAAAGATAGCTCCTCACACATGCTGTCCCCTCCACCTATATAGAGGGGAGGAGGAGGGGGATGTTACCGTCACAGTTTGATAAACCAAAGGTTCTATATTCATGGCATGGAAAAAACATCTAATGCTAATCCCCATGGTTAGTCACAAAAGGATGAAGTGTTTGGAGAAGGCAGGAGAAGTGAACAATCTAGGACAACCTAGCCGATTTGGAAAAATTCTCTAATTCAGCTCACTTTCCAGTTCATCTACGTTGTCCTAGATTGTTCACTTCTCCTGCCTTCTCCAAACTCTTCACCCTTTTGTGAATAACCCTGTCTCGCCAAAGTCACCACTCACGTCTCTCCCCTTCCGCTTCAGCGTCCTCTAATGCAAGTCAATGGGCATGCATAGGACTTGGGGCTGAACTAGCAACACAGAGGGAGGCGGCAGAACCGAGGATCAGGTAAGTAAACCTGCTGTATGGGAGCCCCCTAAACAAAATGTACCTACCTGATCCATGGTCCTGCTGGGCTGCTAGACTGGTCCCCACAGCTTCTCCTCCCCTGGGCTCCAGTGGTGTAGGGACTGACTTGCATTAGTTGTGAGGATGCCATGGGACATTCCTCACTGCAAGGATAAGTCTTTCTTGAAAATAATAATAAATCTTTATTTTTTACATATTTTTTTATTACTAGGAGACTGCATTTATATAGAAATATTTTTTTCTTAAATCCTTCAGATCCTCGTTTTCTAGTGGGCCCCCGCAGCACTTTTCACCCCGCCCTCTGCACTGGCGCCTCCATCAGCTAAGCGGCTTCTGTGGAGGCACCCGTGCGTGCTCGTTCACAGCCATGCCCGCAGTGGCTGTGTACATCCATAGACACACACAGTCCTGCAGGAGCCCACGCCCCTCCTCCCAGCCAAGCATTTTTACTGACGGCAGAAGGAGCCTATGGCTCCTCTTCCTTCAGTATCCTCGCCCAGAAGCAGGAAGTTGAGGACGGAGGATCGCTGCGCGGACCGGCGGCAGTGATAAGCACCACTGACAGGTAAGTGTAAGGGGGACCGGGAGTCTAAAATGTACTGGCCGCTTTTTACCCTAATGCAGAGAATGTAATAAGGGAAAAAAACGCCTAGCCTTTAGTAATACTTTAAAGCAGAATTAAACCTAAAAATTTAAAAACTGAAAGTAGAAAAACAAACAGTCGCATCTCCAGCATCATTGCTCTGAATTAAACTTTTGTTGCAATCCCTGCCTTAGTCTCCACAACTAAGCTGGTACAGGTGAAATGCTTTAGGGGACTGGGGCATGGTATTGTATGGATCAAATCAAGTTTTATTCTAATAAATGTAATGGAGCTGCGACCGTTTGGAATGCACACAAATGCACGTTCGTGCACGTTCACGCACATTCGCATGTGTTTTTGCCATGGTACTTCTTGCACATATCATCGAGTGCTGGTGACTTCTATTATGGTTTGCCATGGTTGCCACACATTAGTCCATTCAATCAAAGGGCTACCGCACTGTAAACAAATGTGGCAAAGTAGCTCAGGCAGCATTTGGAGCTGCAAGCATGCCCCGTTTTTTTTGCAGAGCGTTTGTGCGCATTTGACACGCATCCACACACAGGAACAAACAAACGTGTTACCAGCCGCGCTTGGGGGGCCATTGACAAGCAATAGCACTGCCAGCACGTTGCCCGTTTTTGATGCATTGAGTGAGCTTTGGCACACTTTCATGCAATGCAAAGGTGTGAACTCGGGATTAAAAAACTGTAGAGCAGAGACAGGCTCATATGGGCTGCCTCTGGTGTTCCTGAAGCTGTTTGGAATCAGGACTGGAGTGGAACAATATACTGTATACTCTGCTAACTGCTAGAAAGTATAAGTTTTTTGGCAGGAAGAGCACAGAGTAGTTTTTTATTTCTTGTGCACATTGTACAGAGCATGACGCATGCAGTGTCCTACCCCAGGTCACTCCTAGCATCTGTAATAGGCTGGGAATGAAGCCAAGGACTCATCAGAGACAGTCCAGTGAATGAAGAGAACAACAGCGGACCCGGAAGAAACAGCGGAGGAGATGGCAGTGGTGGTGGATGGAGCAGAAACTGGCAGTCTAGATCGGTCAGCGCTGGAGGAGGGTGCACATGCCAGGTAAGTGTGCCTTAAGTATGCTGTAGATCAGACATGGGCAATTTATGGCCTGTGGCTGTCCAGCCCCTGACCTGTGCTCCGTTATGGCTGGCTGACAGTGAATACACCCAGGGCCGGTGTTGGACTATTTTGCGCCCTAGGCAAGACCATCTACTTGCACTCCCCAGCATCCCTCCCACGGTGCAACACCCAATCCCCCTCTCCTCCTAGGTGTGCCCCCATTCTCCCGCCGGCTAGCTTCTGCAGGTGACAGGTGGATGTAAGCAGCCGGGAACAATAGCCAGACTAACATTGGCTATTTTAGTTTGAAATATAGCTATCTAGCTATAGACTGGCTATTGAAACCACACCCACGCAGTAGAGGAGCGGACCTGAGAGAGAAAGTTATCTCTCACTTGCGCTCCTCTGCTCAGTGGGCAGGTGCAGTAGTCATACAGCTATTGGCTTTTGCAATTTGAAATAGACTGGGGGGCACCGTGGGGGGGTGAGTGGTCGAGGCTTTGCCAGAGCCAGCAGTGCGCCCTAGGCGGCCTAGGTGGCAGCACCTGCCCTGGATACACCGGCGTCTGGCGTACATTCAGTTACATGGGATATTGTTACCATTCGCCCGTTTCCCAGTAGCAGTCTCCATTTTAAGAGGTATGTCACCAGGAAACCAACATCCCCAGCAGAAGTCAATGCAGTCCAAGCAAAGAAGATAAGCTGCACCTTTCTTGCCCTTTTTTCTCAGCAGTTCCAGTGGGGACATTGCCAGGAATGTTAGCGAGTAGAGCCGCTGCTGACATGCACTCCTCAGCTTTGGTATCCAGTAATATGGATGAGGGGGTGGGGCTTTGTGTTTAGCGCTTGGTGGTTGCCTGTCACATGGTGTGGAAAAGGCTCCATAATTGTCGGGATCCGCTTCAGCTACAGCGTCTCAGTATACTGAGCTTAGGGTGACGGGAGGACGCTAGTTTGTGTCCTCCCGTTACCCTAAGGAGAACTGTGGGGAAAAGCCTCAACCAGTGGCGGAACTACCGCCGGTGCAGCAGGTGCCGGCACACCCGGGGCCTTGTGGAATGTGAGATCACGGGATTACGTTAAAACGTGTGACCACGTCACCGGTCACACATTCTAACGTAGTCACAACCTTTGATAGAACACCGCCATCGGGGGGTATGGCCGGTACCCACGTGAGGGGTCTGGGGGGCCCTCTTACAGTACATGGGTATCAACTGTACTGGGGCGGCATGGCATTGTGACGCCACTGCTGCAGAGCCCAACATAGAGAGTCTCAGGTGGGCTATGCAGGATCTATGGTGTGCTCTGCATGGTCTCAGGTAAGTCCAGCACGCTACTGCAACATAAGAGACCGCTGGGGGGGCGGGGAAAAAATTATAGAACACTGACTTTGACACTGTCCGGCCCCTCCCACTATCCTCACACAGCTCACAGCCCAGAAGCATGGACAGCCAGCGTCGGTCTACAGTGGGCAAGAGTGCCTAAATAGTGGACATGGAGCGGAGTAAGGCCAGAACCATTTGGGAGCCCAGCATGAGGAGAGTGCCATCCCCCAGCCAGTCATCCCTTTCATGGACTTACTAGGAGTCCTCACATCACCCAACCATTCACACTACCTTTACATGGATGGCAAAAGTGGCAGGCAGGGGCGGAGAGAAGGCGGGGAAGAGGCAGAGTGGGAGGGGGGCCAAGTTGCTGCACCATGGGCCCCTGGTTGTACTTGCCCCCTGGGCTAAAAGTTGGCAATAAGTATTGCTGGAATGTGTAGTTCTCTATAGCCTGTGCCATTCTGCATTGCTGTAAATATTAGGGATGCACCGATTTATCGGCCGCCAAAACATATCGGCTAAAAATTGCACTTTTGGCTAAATGCTGAAAGTGCCATTTTCCTGCCGATACAGCGGTGCATAACTGCTTTCTTTCCTCCCCGATGGGTGCTGCTCTGTGTCCCAGCGGGGTGGAGAGAAAGTGTGACAGCCGGCCGAGCGCTGCGATTTTTTTGTGGTTGCTTCAGGGGGTGTGGATTGGGGGTGTGTTTTTTTGGGGGGGGGGGAGGGCCCAAAAAAAATCTTGCACCAGGGCCCTTTGTTCCTTAGGTCCGCCACTGATCTCAGTGCTCCATGTGCATTAACAGAAAAGGTCTGCACTCAGTTGCACATAAAAAAGAATTTTAAAAAACAACTTTTTTAAAAAAAGTCCCCACCCATACATACACGCATGCAAACATGCGTCAGGTGCGTATACCTGCGAAAACAATGATTGCGCCCATTACGCTGCACATGTTACATATCGCTGCGAACATTGCAGTGAGAGCAATGATTCTAGGACAATGAATTACTTATAACACTAAACTGATGAGCTGTAAGGCCTTGTTCACACCTGACCATTTTGTAGCGTGTCCTACGCTCGACGAACGCTCTACAAAACGGTCAAAAATATAAATAGCATTGTAGTCAATGGTCTCGTTCCCACCTGTCCGTATTTCCGCCCGTCCCTACCGCGCTACAAAACGGCCCACGCCTGAACGCTGTTTCTAAAATACAAAAACGCGCTAAAAACGCTCATGAAAACGCGCCAAACGCCGGGAAGAAAACGCGTGTGTTACGCGCTTAGGAAAAACGCCCAGGTGTGAACAAGGCCTAAAAGTTTTTAAAGCGTTGCCTATGGGCAATTTTGGGTATGGTAGTTTTTTGTGATTTCGCGGGAGCGCACAATTTTTAAGTTTGACATGTTTGGTGTCTATTTACCCAACGTGACCCCGTCTTTTATATTTTACCAAAATAATTGGGTAATAATAATTGTTTCCTAACATAATGTAAAAAAAAAAAAATCTACATTTTCAGTAATTTTTCCTAAATATAGTAAAAAATAAAACCCCCAGTGGTGATTAAATACCACCAAAAGAAAGCTCTATCCCCCAAAAATTGTATAAAATTCATTTCATGACAGAATAAATGTCAGTCAAAGTACTGCAGCACTGAATACTGAAAAATGGCCTGGGAGGGGGTCTAAACACCTGGTCTTCAAGCGGTTAAAGAAGAGTGGACCAGAATCCCTCCTGAGATGTGTGCAAACCTGGTGACCAACTACAAGAAACGTCTTACCTCTGTGCTTGCCAACAAGGGTTTCTCCACCAAGTACTACTGTAAGTACTGGCTATGTAGGCAACAATTCTGCAAAGATGAGTGAACCAAAATTCCTGCACAGCGCTGTTACAGATTCATTGTAAAGGTGCCCATACACTGCACGATTATCGTACGATAATCGTATGCGATCGGTTTTTCGTACGATAATCGAGCAGTGTGAACGGAGACGTGTGACCGTTTCTACTGTACGGTCGCACGTCTTCCGTCGAACCAGCATGTTCGAAAACCAGCCGGGAATCGTACGATTCTCGGCTGGTTAGAACGGTGCTCGGAAGACAAATGCCGAACGGGCCGGTGTGCGCACGCGCACACTGCCCGTTCAGCATTGCGGTCATCGGAAGCCCGCCCCTCAGGGGGGCGTGCTTGCGATGATCGAGAGTGCGATCTGCCTGTCCAAGATAGGCAGATCGTACGTTTTTTTAATCCCTGTACAACCATCGCAAGACTAAAGTCTTGCGATGGTTGTAGAGTGTATGGCCACCTTCAGTTATCGCAAACGCTTGATTGCAGTTCTGCTGCTAACGGTGGCCCAACCAGTTATTAGGTTTAGGGGAAACACTTTTTCACACAGGGCCCTGTGGGTTTGGATTTTGTTTTCCCTTAATAATAAAAACCTTCCTTTAAAAACTGCATGTTGTGTTTACTTGTGTTATCTTTGACTAATATTTAAATTTGTTTGATGATCTGAAACATTAAAGTGTGACAAACGTGCAAAACAGTGAAAAATCAGGAAGGGGGCCAACACTTTTTCACACAACTGTATATATGGTCAGAACGCATAAAGAAAGTTTGTTGCGGTGTCATTACTTGTTAATGGCACCTCAAGTGTGGCCCGGGAAAACGCGTGTTTTTCCCATGTGTGGGCGGTCGTGAAAATGTGAACAAACATGCAGAAAAATTTTTGGTATGCCTGCAGCAGAATCTGCTACTTTTCCCACATTTGTCATGCATGCAGCCCCCTTTTGAAATCAAAGGGGAGACACACGTCAAACAAAACAATGCATTCAAATGCAACGCACAATCCCAGTTCGACAAGTCTTACAGTGGTTGGATTCCACTTTGTTTGCAATGCATTTTGATGATATTACTTCAGTTTTGCATGCCTAATTGCAGCCAACTGCAGTAAAGTATGCTTTTTCTCAAACTGAAAACCAAAATAAATCTATGTTTTGTACATATCTTCAGAGACAAGTAGGGGAACATTATTTTTTTAATGTTCTTTAATTATTGATGTCCTTGTTTATTACTGGTGGGCATTCCTTCATTTATTCATATAATTTATTCATATATCATAGAAATTATTACTCTGACTTTTATATGTGTCATTGGAGAATGACCTGAAGTATCCTTGTCCAGTTACACATTGATGTCTTTGATGTATGTAAGTAAAAAAGTGTAAGTGCCGCAAAATGCTTTGTTCTCTTCCCCATTCCAAATCAGATAGTACAATAATTATACTGCGTTCACACCTGGGCGTTCGTAATATGCGCGTATGAC